GGTCTCACCATCAGGCGAAGAACAACACCACAAACAATGTTCAGCACCGATGGCGGAAAAAGCGATCCAGTGCGGCTATTCAAGCTTTGGTTGTCCAAGCGACCCGAAGGAATGAAGAACACAGGGCCACTCTATCTAAGCATCATAAATCGTCCTAAATCAGCAGATGTTTGGTATACCAAAGTTCGAATGGGACAAAACACCATCGGCAATTTAATGAAATCCATGGCCTCCTGTCTCAGGACGAATAAGAAGCTGACGAACCACAGCATGAGGAAAACATTGGTATCAAAACTGAAGAAATCAGGTCAACCGCGCAATATCATCTGTGAAATAACAGGCCATGCACGTGAATCTTCGTTAGACGACTACGATGAAATAGACGAGAATCACAGGAAAGAACTGTCTCACATTATCAGTGGATATAAAGACGTGTCAAACGAAAATCAAGCAAACGAAGTCTCCCGCCAAAACACTGCAAATCAAGCCTCAAATCAAGAGATTGCAGTCCAACATAAACGAACACCTCTGGTTCCTATTTATCACGTCCAACAACAAGGCCAAATGTATCAGGCCATGGGTTCCAATCCTGGTTTTCAGCCAGCTGAATTTTCAGGATTTCAACCACGTTTTCCATTGCTGTCTCCGCAGTACCGCATGGAAGCCCTCAGTTGTGCTGCTCCCGTTCCATCGCAGAATTACACAGTCTGCACCTTCAATTTCTTCTCCAGAGACAGCCAGAATTCTCCACCCCAACCACAGAAGAAACGAAGGGTTTACATCATTGAGTCAGACGACGAGGATTGAACTTTAACGCTTCACTATTTTTCTGAGTTATTGATGACTTCTCTTTCTTTTGATACGCTTGACTGAGTTTTTGACACATGACGTCAAAGTCTTTCTGTTTTGCATACAAAAAAAGATGTAAATGCATTTCCGTTTCCGCTTTTTATTTAAAAACAGGCTCCGTACTGCATCAATAAAATATTTGAATTGACCAAGTTCTGTATTTGGGCGATTTCAAAATGGATGTAATAAAGTGGTAATTGAACCTCGTGTCGTGCAATTTTGGTCTGAAAGCATACTTGTGATTTCAAATCGAACTCGCGCTACGCGCTCTAAATCACCTAAGTGATTTTCAGTTGAAGGAAATGAAAATTCTCAACATCGATCACAAAAAAGTTGCCATCCTGTGTGTAAAGAACACAGTACTCTCACGAATGTATCGCCCAATTTTGACCACAAATAAGGCGCTACAGGGCTCGAAGCTCAAACACGGTTTGGAGTTAAGTGCGCATTGCAATAGCCGCTCCTTCAAAGGAAGGGACTCCTTAGATCACACAAGCTTCCTGGACATGCTAATGTACATGACATCTTGAAATTAATTTGTATAATAGTTGCTCTCTGTCAAATTTCTACAAACCAATATCATTAACAAACAATATATTATTAAATAATCCTGAATCAAAAGGAACGAGTCTAACTTTTGGTAGAGCCATCGAGGGGTCTTATGTTGAGGTCGAGGTCGAGGGTATTTAGTCGAGGGTCCCTTTTTTGTTTTTCTTTTTCGCAGCCCATGTTCCTAGTCGAGGGTCCCTTTCTTCTCTTTCTTGGCAATAGAAAATACGAGTCATCGCTTTGCGTGAGACCGGATGTTGACGTTGTTAGGCTTCATAAAAGGCTTCATTAAAGGGGAGGCCCTTAGACTTCTCAGAACAAACTCCTCTCAAACGATATTCCAGGAGAAAATCGCAAATTTCAAAGAGCGCATTTGCTAAAGAGAAGCTACCCAGAGGACCTCGATCATTAACACAACCTTCTCAGAGGTGAATTTCAAAAACAGGAAATTAGCTCTTCAACAGAAACCGAAGACGAACCAACGAATCTTGCCTTTTGTTACACAATACCAACCATCAGTGCCTCACATAAAGCAAATTCTTATGAAAAACTGGCATTTAATAGAAACACAACCATTACTGAGCGAATTATACAAAAATCCGCCGCTCGTATCTTACAAAGGAGGGCGGTCGCTCAAAGACATACTCGTGAAGGCTAAACTTTGAATAGGCTACTCTAAACACGCGCT